TAACTTGAAAAGGCTGCAAACTGCCTACTTCCACAGCCACTGGGGTCGACACCCCACTACTTGTGCTCGCCGAACTGCCATCTCCCTCACTTGATTCTCCGCCAGGCATTGTAAAGAAGTATGTCCCCTCCAAACACAAAATGGTAAAAGAAACTAGCACAAAGACATTCCTCACCATCCCATCCTCGTCGCCAGATGTGATATTTGGATATACGGCAATAAAAACCTTCGATGTTTTTTTGATTTCAATACTTTAATCCACACACTATCCACATGGCAGCCAACGAGTACCACAAGAACAACTTTCGCTAGGCATCACGGGATGCCTACAAACACAACCTTTTCACACTTCCGGCACAATACACTACACTCGCCTCCCACCAATGTGGCCCGGGTTCGATTCCTGGACCCGACGCCATGAGTGGGTTGAGTTTCTGTTGGTTCTCTTCTCTGCTTCGAGGGTTTTTCTCCGGGTTCTCCGGTTTTCTTCCCTCACCAAAAACCAACATGCAGCTGATTTCAGCTGGCTGTGAGCTGTGCTCCAAGGTCACACATGGACCGTATAGCGGCTGCCAGAAGCGCCATTGTAAGCTTTCGCTTCGACCTTGTTGAGATGCGTCGTTTCTGTTCTTTGCGACGGCGATTAGCAGTGAAAATTATTATTATTATTATTATTATTATTATTATTATTATTATGTAATTAAATGTTTATATCATGCAAATGTAGTTATTCCCACACATTCCCAGGAAAAATCTCCAGGAAAGGTTATGTAGTGATTTTGAAATCCCATACGAATCAGCTACAGTTTATAATGAGGGCTTAAACATTGAAAACTATTCAAAGAAATTTAAGACAAAGCTGTTACTTTCGAACCTGTATTAAGAGGCATGGTATAAAGTGGTCACCCTATAATAAGAGGTCGGTTTTCAAGGTTACCTCTATTTAGCGTTCACCTCTATTAAGTGGTCGTGGTTACCCTTTCTTGAGTCCCAATGGCCTGTTTGTATTTTCCTCCACCTTTGTCAAACAATCACTAAAAGAGGGACCACTCAAATAAAACTAAGAATATTCTTTCAAGTAAAATTTTATCCATATTTATCTCCCGAAATAAAAGTTGGTAGAATATTTTAGCGAGTTTTTGTACATTGTACATTAGTCAAATCGTTTTTTTTATGTATTACCCAATTCGGTGGAACCCGTATTAAGCAGTCTCCACTCCATTCCTAGTGAGTAACCGCTAAAAATAGGTTTGAATGTACATCTAAATTTAGTAACATGTTCCTATTACCTGGAGCGGATCCAGGGGTGGTTCGGGTGGTTTGGTGGAACCCCCTAAATTTTCCTCAAAGTGCTGGAAATCATGTTTCCTAAGACCTAATTTTCAAAATCTCACGGGGAGTGTGCCCTCGGACAATTCTTTGAATCCCCTTGACTAGATCCTGGATCCGCCCCAGATTATTCAGTGACTAGAAAGTCTCAGGTCGCTTGATTCCCACCCGAAGAAACGATTCATAGAGGTTAAGTTACTATTTTCCGAAAGTTTTAGACCGAAAAGCTGGAAGCGCTGAATTCAAAATTTTGGGCTTGCCCCTGCAATAAAAACCCCACCTAACCTTTGTTTTGTCGATGCAATCACTTCGCAAGCTTTATGGAGATCTTGAAGGATTGATACCAATTTTGAATCAAAATGATGGCTGCCTCCATATAGGTGCCTGGAACCCTCAGGACTTGTTGATCCGGAAGCGGTCCAGCCTCCGAGTTCTGGACTGCTGCTTGCGCTTCTGCCTCTGCGTTTTGATTTGGCAACTAGTTGCTCAATCATTCTTTTGCAAGTTGTGCATGTTTTTACTCGCGTAGAGAGTTCCTCAGCTGCAATGTGGTCATTATCAAAATGCTCGGGGCAACGAGGAAAAATTACAGAATGGTTTTTTGACTTTAAGCACAACACTAAGCAAAACTGTTCTAGCCCGATAAGTTGAAGAAACACCACTTTCACAGGGCTTTCTAGAGTTTTAACCCTTTCAACAAGGACATTTGCTACGTTATCTCGCTCCAAATTCTTGAAATGATCTTTCCCTACAATGTCCGTCAGTGATATGTCTTTAATCAGTTTGTAGCATTCACTGCGGACGCTATCTAACCTACTGTCTTCCCTTGCCATAGCTTTCGTATTTGCTAGGAAAAGTTTCCTGACTGCGTTTTATTCAGATCCCGGCAGGACTTTAAGGTAATTCAAGCAAACGTCGAAAACAGACTTCGTTTGGTATTCGTCAGCTAACCTCAAGAGATGCTCCATTTTATCCCGCTGTCAAGTAAAACAAAAAATTAAAATATTGCAAAGTCCTCACGTTGAGCGGAAGGATTGAAACCGAGAAACAGCGAAAGAAAATTGAAGCTGGTACATATCACAGTTTTTATAACATAAAATGACAGTCGATTTCTCAGAGTATGCTTATTTAATTGAAATGCTTTTTCTGGCGTCATTTCAAGTAAGTCGAGAAAACGCTTTCAGTTTAACAACGGTCACTCAGAAATGTACGTTTGGTTCATATTTCAGGAGAGTATTAATGGGATGATGGCTTTTACGGCTAACGGTTAAGATTTTGACTTTTTTCACAGCTTATGGATAATATCGTTTCATTGTTTTCACCAGAAATTTTTTTAGGTCAACATTTTTTACGATTACCCGTTTTTTGGCCGTTTTACGGCTTTCGGTTAACCCCTTTGAGACCCTCTTCCAGGGGGGAACTAACAATTTAACTCAGTGGCAACAACCGAGAAAGAAATATTCCTGCGAAAACAAAAATAAAGAACTATTTTCTAGTTTTTAATTTTTTGGCGGCTGACGAACAGTGCAGAACTCATCCTGCGGTTAAAGAAAATCATAACTTAATTGCGCAATTTCTGCAGTTTGCGTGTTTGTTGGTGGTTTTTCAAACACAATTTAGGGGCTCAGGCTTATCAGTAGTCTCTCCTTTAACATTAGAATACCTTTCACAGTTAGAGAAAGTTAAACTAATAAGTAGCCAGTTTTTCCGTTGTCTACCCAGATGGCTAGGCACGAGAACGCACGCGCGAAGACAGTATCGACCTAGCAGGTGTATATGAATCAGGATGTTCTAAAATGCTTTGCCGTCCTTTTTAATATTAGGCAACATCAAAAGAGTCTGGCACTAAATGCTAGTCAGAAAGACCATGCGAGCACACTCAACTCCCCAAACTTGTAGGCAAACACCGTGCTTTTTTTGCGAACTGCGTATCGCATGCCAGAACTTTTTTATCGTAAGTTATTGAACAGAGTTTTAAAAATATTTCTGTTATAAAGATTCTATGGCCTGCGTCAACAAATTAAGTCATGAATCGAAGAAATAATAGAAGATGAATATCAATACAGTCTCGAAAAAATTCACTGAGGTCTGTGCGATGGTTCGTGCGGGAGGTACTGGAAGAAATGTTTTACTCAAACATATAAGGTTTTCTATGAGTGAGACGCCATGCCTGTGTCCCTCCTAAGGACAAATATAGCGGCCAGGGGTTAACAAAAACACATGTTGTCGATTTTTGCCATAAAAAGCCAGTAGTCGTCTTCTGAGGGCTCATAAATATCTGTATGAGTACTTATTCGCGTACAAGGACCGTTCAGATTGCGAAATCTCAGCAACGTGACAGCGTTCCCGACTGCCGTTTTAATATCGTGTCATGCAAAAGCTCAGAAATTCAACCTTGGTTCATCACAAAAACCCTTTCAAACTGAAAATTTGTAAAAAGATGAGTCTTCAGTGTTTCATAAACTAACTAAATTCAAGTCTCGAAAGGATGGATAATTCCTTATTTTTAATTTTGATGACGTCACTTGAAAACCAAGGAATTTCAAAGATACATCTTTTATATAAATCATTTTCTCAACATACATAATACTTCTTTCATATGTGTAATACTTCCTTGTGAATATATAGTCTTTCCTTGCTTTTATAGCAAACTTTCCTTGGATAATAAAACTTGGCGTTGTACAAATCAAACTTGTCAGCAAATAAGACTTTGTGCTACAGTTAGAGAAAGTCAACTTCAATGATATTACTGTAGGTGACACAGTCGTAGTAGCGAAATCAGTTGTGCGATATCCTGGGTCATGGTTTGATCGTAATCTGGATATGTCATTCCACATAAGTAAACAATGCGCCTCTGCATTCTATCATTTGCATAATATAAGTCGGATCCGTAAGTTATTAAGTACAGATACCAATTAAGCCCTCATTCATGCGGTTGTTACCTCGCGCGTAGATTATTGCAATAGTCTTTTATATGGCTTGCCAGCTTCTCACCTGAATAAGATTCAGCGCGTTTTCAATGCCGCAGCAAGACTAGTTTGTCGCGCGCCGCGCTACTATGGCATAACGCCGTTGCTAACGAGCTGCACTGGCTACCGGTTAGGCAACGCATTAGTTTTAAGATTCTGCTATTTTTTTAAGGCCATCTATGGAATTGCGCCAACATATTTAAGAGAACTTGTGTCAATTAAAAGACCAGGAAATTATAAATTAAGATCCTCCTTGGATGGTTTGTTGCTTGCAACGCCAACTTATATATAGGAGACAGATCATTCCAGGTCGCTGCTCCGGCACTTTGGAATGAATTACCGCGTGAGATTCGTTCTATTACAGATCTAGGGATTTTCAAGTGCCACCTGAAAACGTGATACGTAGTCGACAGGAGCCCATTACCCGGAGCTTCCATCTCAGTTGTACCCTTGAGTCAACCTGTCCCGTATCTTTTTATTTTTAGAACTGAGATATCTGCGGGGGTTCTTTAATCTTTCCGCGCTTTCCGCCATTATTGAAATAATTTCGTGCGGCCTGCAAGTGACACAATAGAGACGTAACACAAGAGAGACGACAGCTCTCTTATGATTGGCTATTATAAAAACACCCGCGAAAACCGCCGTGGGAGGTGCTTCTAAAAATAGAAAGATACGGGACAGGGTTGGCTCAGAGGGTCAGTATGGAAGATGGAAGCTCCGGGTAATGGGCTGCTGGTGGTGGACTATCACCTGACTGCCGGAATAGAGACCACAACAGTATTGAATACGTCAGTAATAATATATAGGTGCCCTGAAGGCTATTTCATGATAAACTGATTTTTTATATTCCTTTTTTCACTGTCCAAATTGAATTACCTGTGCCTGAGAAAAAGTGCACTTGCCCTTTCTAAATAAACTTATGACAGTTAAAAAGAGTCCTTGAGCATCCTTATTTATTTTTTTTTTATAAAAAAAGATAACTTACTCGTAATATTCAGTTCTCTTTTGGTGTAATGGGGTCCGTACACTTTCATCAAGAAGTCTAACACTTCATTGGGTTTCTTTCCAGGTAGCGGAATCTCATTGGCAGTTGCTTCTTTAAACTGAGATTTAAACATGGTCTTGAAGACTGGCGAGCTCATACTTAGAATAAGGCGATGGACAAGAAACTTTTCATCTTCAACGAGAAGAACCAGATCGCTGTCTTCCCAGGGCTCAGAGAAATGATCTTTTACTTTCACATCAGGTTGCTCTTTGATAACTGAGCAAAAAATTGAGTGAATCGAGAGTTTAAAGTAAGAAAAATTCCATCTAGATCAACAAAAATGAGATGCAATTAAGCGCCTTTGCCACTTCAAAACTCAGTTATCTTTACCTTTTTAAAACAATGTAAGTCACGGTCACACTCTATGCATGGATCGTGTGTAAATATATATGCATTTAATCAGTTTTTATACTGCGTTCCGCGAGTTTTCAACTTAAGTCGGGTTGAAAATTTTCGTGACATTTACATTATTGTGCGTACACGAAGACGTGTGCAGCTGTAATTACTTACTTGACCTCAAAACTGACCTGTGTTCAAGTTAGCACCGTGAATAATCTCTTATAATTGAACGACTCCTCCTTCATTAAGCAAAGCCCATTTAAAGTGAATAGTGTTATAAACGAGTCTCTTTCCCAGCGTCGTTCATCGACTGTGGAACGTAATATCATGTGTTCAGAATCAAAACATTTCTCGCATCCTTCATCGACTGCTCTACTTTCAGGTTTAATAGCACTCTACACATTCGTTTCCGCGGTGTGTATTTCTCTGTTTCGATGCTTGATAACCGTTGCCAGTTTCAATTTAGCTAAGGGAAACATAGTGGCTCTTGATATCCAACTCAATTCTCACGGAAATAACATCCGATATCTCACGAGTGAAGGTTAACTTGAAACATTTATACAATCAAGAGTAGCTTACCAGCCTCGGCGAATTTTCCATCGCTTGTAATGTTTAGTTTAGCATCCCACTGAGTGATTCCTACGGGCGCCGCTTTTTCATCAGAAAACTTAAAAGCCTTGATTGAGTCAGTTTGCTAGACATAACGTCTCGTAGTCACGTTGCGTCGAACGTGACTACGAGACGTTATGTCTAGCAAACTGACTCAATTATCGAACACGTTCCTGGCCTCGGCCCACAAAATTTCATCACAACTTAAAAGCCATCTTACAAAATTAAATGAGCTCAGTTTGTGCGACGTAATTAATTGTCACAAGGTGTTTGAGGCAGTAAGGTAACGTTTTCGAAAGGAATAAGGGAAAGACCAAAGCTCACTCTAAAAATATGGCCGTAAAGGTTAGGTTCTGTCTGGGCCTGTACTGTTGACGTCACCGTTTCTTATGAAAGGAGAGGAGAAGACTTGCGCCCAACAGGTGCACTCGTTGCGCGCAAGTCTCCACACAACAACAGGAGAGCCGTACGTCAGCAGACAGTAGAATCGAGGATAAAAACGCGCCAATCACAGCTTTGGAATGCCAAAAAATCACAGCGGAGCATCCTGCTTTAATAAGACCTAGAACTAGTCGACCTTATCGCCTGATGAAGACTAGTAGTATGCAGTTGAAACGCCGCGATTCACATCACAAGTGACCATATCGTGAGACAAACGATAATACTTTATTATAACTACAATACTCTACGTGACTAACTTGACCGAAAATATCAGAATTAAGGAGTATTTTGGGACAATTATTAGTTATATTCGAGAGAATACATAAGATTGAACCGATAAAATGGATAGGATGATACTCTGGCGATGTCGCCCAAGGTCAGTCTAAGATAAAAACATGGACGACGAGGACCGGGTGAGGGAGAGAAGAGGGGAGTTCAAGCCTACCCATCCTACCCTCCTACTTTTGTACGTTTAAAAGATGATTTCTCCACAATCCCAAAATAAAATACCAAAAGAGTGCAAATATTTTCTGTAAATCGTTGCAGGAATAAATGAGGTGAAATAACCTTTTTGTGCTACATTATCTCACCGTTTCTCTCAGTTTCGAAGGCTAATGGTAGATATTTATCTTGCCTCTTTCCGGCTCGGTAAATATCCAACACTAGCCACCTCCACTTCGGTGAATAGTTGTTAATTAGTTTATCAGATAGGTGATTACTGCCTCTGGCGCGCTGATCGGCTAGAGCGGAAGTGATTAGCAAATGATGTTCACTTCCACTGTTAATTATTGTTTTCCTTGGAATAGCCACTGCAATGCCCTGTTTTTAATTAACCCTGAGACTTCGTTCGTCAATTTCGCGGATGATGGCGCATGTACTAGTCTTTTTTCCTATATTCCTCTATGTTTGTTGTGGAATGGGCCTGTGAAGAGGCAACTGTCACATTACGTGCAAATTTCGAGACAACTTTGAAAAGTTAACTGAATGATGGCCTCTTTACACCTTAAGTCCACTTCCTTGTAATTTGCCTAATTTTTGTACGAAATCTGTTAAACTGACAAAGGGTTAAATCTGTTAAATCTGACAAAGGGCTGGCCTGTAAGGCTTCTTAAAACGCTCCATTTCGGTGGTTAAAGTAATCAACATCTCCTTGCAAAGCGTGCATTCTGTGATACGCTTATCTATAGGAACGCCAGAGGAATATCCGTTGTTGAAATGCATTGGACACCACCTCATGTACCTTTTCCCCTCGTAGCACAACCACAAACAATACTCCACTAAACCCATAAATTGAGGGTACAGATCATATAGAAACGCTTCCAGCTCAAAACTTCTCGTACACAAGAAACCATTCTTGTCTTCTTTGTCAAGTTCCAAGCCCATTATCCAAAAGGTACCCAATTCCATACCTTCAACTAGGCGGTAACAGCTCCCTTTTACTCTTTGCAAATTATACGTACTTGCAAGCTTAAGAATCGAAAGAACATTTTCCTTTGTTTTAGGCTGTGCCTCCAGGAACTTTGCGCAAAGGTCGAAGATAGCTTTTACCTGATATTCGTCACTTAACTTGAGAAGGTGGTCCACGTTTTCCACTGATGAAAATAAAAAAAAAAAGCCGCTCAGTGTCCAGTTTCAGTCACACTCTAGTTGGGGAAAGCCAAGGTTATACTTCGGGGAAATCAACTTTATCCTCACAATGCTGCCCTTCACCCAGGAAAACAAATGCTGGAATGCTACCTGAATTTATTTGGCTAAGAATTTTCTAACTTCCATGGCCAGGGAAAGGGAGCAAAACCCATCGAACTTCGAAACCACGCGAGTTAAGCTTGGGCAACCGTCAGGCTAGCCCGGCTCAGTCGAGACTCACTTTATTCTTCTTTTCTTTATAACTAATACACGTGTCCCATAATTGAGAAAGCTTCGGCCATTGTATTTGAAATCTTCCAGTATTAAACATTAATTTCTTTTGGTTGCGAGTAAAGTGGTGAATAATTTTAATAAATTAAAAAAAAATGAAATTTCAATGCCAAGGAATCGCTCGAGGTGTGTGTGTGAATATAATTATAGACATGATTTCTTGTTACATGTGTTTCTACTCCATCAAACATTTCTGTTTTGTGGCTTCCTTCTGCGATTAGCTAGATATGCAGTCGACGCCAGTGATCCACACACTACCCTGAAACGAAGCCTCTAATACTTGATGTAATCATGATATTCGGAAATAAGCATCGGCAAAGATCATTCGTTGCTAATACTCACTCGTTATTTCGGGTCGCTCCTGGACGTAAAGTTGCTTTATGAAGTCCAATACCTCGCTTGCTTTTTTCTCAGGCAGTGGAATTGATTTTCTGCTGTCAGATTTGAACATGGCCTTGAACACTGATGAATTCATACTCAGTATCACACGATGGACATGAAACTTTTCATCTTCCACCTCAAGAATTAAATCGCTGTCTTCCCACGGCTCAGAGAAACGATGCTTTTCTCTTTCTTTGCTTGGCTCACTACCTGTCAATAACACCGTCCGATCAAGAAAAAGTGTCTATCGTCTGAAACCTTTGCATTAGTCCTTGTTGACATGATAAGACTTCTTCTCTATTACATAAGTTAACATTTCGTAAATAAACATTCAAAGCGCTTTTTATGCATCATCAAGTCTAATCAACCAAACACTTCTTGACTCTCGTAAATAATTCCGTTATATTTATCGGGATTCGGCGAGATAAGCTTTCATTCTGATGTAATTCGAGGGACAGAAAATTATGTTGCTAACTGAAACGCAGGCCAGTATTCTTGTTGATAAGTTATTGAGATTATAATTACTATACAATTAACACGATAGATTATCGACTAATGAGGTATGTTTTAGTAAGATTTCATACGTTGTTACCCAACTTTGAATTTTATAAATACTTTATCTTGTAAATAAGCGATTGTTATGAGTAGGTCAATGCTTGAGAAGGCAATTTACATTTGCTGACCTCAGAGTAAAGATGGAAAGCGAAGCTGGAAGCTTACCTTCCGTAACAGTTGATTTCTCGCCACGAATGTTTTCTGCCATCGCAAATAAAAGTCGCTCCTCAAGCACATTAAGCAATACTCGAAGTACCCTTGAACTAGGACAGTTTTTTTCACCTGCAGTATAACATCAGGTTATATGCTTCGGATACAATTGAAAGAGATCAAAAGATATTTGAATCAACAGGAGAGCTAGGGAATTCCGGAAAATTAAAACTGTTACCGAAGCGATTTCGTGGCATGAACAATATCACTGTTAAGCTTTCTGCTGTGCTGACTTTGGCAGAGGTGTCCTAAGGTGAGAGACTGCTATGGACTGGGCACTAGTTAAACTAAGAGAATTTTGAATGTCAATTTTGAAGATATGGCATATCTTGCTGTAAAAACTTTTCACAAATATGAGACAGCAAGTGACGAGTTAATCTTCCTAGGTCGCCGGACCACGATTGAATCGAAGTCCGGTCATTTAAGAAGAAGGAATCTGTGCAAATTCGGGCCTATCAGCGGTGTTATGGTATTTTCTTGGTTTTTCTGTTCTTTTTTGTTTTTTTTCTTTTGGTTTTTCGATTGGTTATTTCATTGATTGTTTAACTGATCGGGTAACGTCTGCTTGCACTGGTACACGTACCATTAGAGTTTTGGGAACAAAGAATGTTTACCCTTTCAAACAACCTTCATACTGCAAGGATAATTTCCAAATTGCCTATGTATTATGGTCTCAAGAAGACGTTTGCAACAATTAAATAGGAGAGTATCCGAATGAGAAATCGAAAGACCACAGTCACTCACGGTGACCTTCGTAAGACCGCTGGTTCAAAATGAATTCAAGACCCATCGAAATGCCTTTTGTCGCAATTTTTCTTTAGCAATACTTCCTTTTCTGACTTTCTCTATGATCAGGGTCCAGTTGTTCAACGGCCGCTTAGAATCAACCCAAGGCTAGATTTTATTCAGGTTTCTTTCTTCATTCGTTTAAAAAGCCCTATTGGAATAATGTGTTCTATTCTGTTTCGACAAAATTTTCGAATCTAAAATCAGATTTAACAGTAACCTTGGATTATCTCAACCCAGCTGTGAAAAACCCGCACAGAGCACAACCGAGAAAAACTAAGTCTGCAGAGCAGGCGTAATTTTGGCGAGCGAGTGCTCAGTATTATTTAGACGAAAATTATAGCTGTCATCTTTGATTATTACATCAACGGAAGGCTGGGGAGAGAGGTAAATTTGTACCAAGGGGTGAGTGACGGTCAACCTCGATCCCAGGGGCTTTTCCCTCATAGCCTTTTCCCGCCCCACCCCCAGCTAAGGAAAGAGGCCATGGGAACGAGATTGAGTGACTGTCAAATAGAGGGAGTGGGGAGGGGGTGTCGCCCTTCCCCACCCCCTCCTCCCACGGTCTACTCTAGCTCCAAATCAAACACGGCCGGTTGAATTAACGATCGTGAGCTTATCAACGCCAACTCGCCCTAATGAGACGCCTACATTACACGCTGAGTTAAACTTTGTATGAGACTCACTGGGGCGCTACACCCTGGATCGAAAGTTTTGAGTTCGAACTCAGGCCGGGTTTTGTCCTGTTATACTCCCTTTTCCTCTCAGGATTTTAGTTAGGCGTGGCAAAGTGTCCATGCAGGAAACTTATCGAACTTCTGCAGGAATAGCATTACTCCTCGTCACCTCATGCCAAAAAAACCGGTGCCGAAAACTCAGGATTTGATGAGTTATATGAGCTTACAAAACATAACCAAAACAAACCATCTCTGTGGCTAATACCTCTATTCTTAGATGTCGTCCTTGAATTAGCACATACAGACATTTGAACATTTTGGTGTATAACGTAAGCAATATACTATATGTAATAGGCTGAAAGATACACGCATTATTTGATGCTTACTGCATTGTATAAAACAAATAACTTCCCTGTACGTCTGTTCAGTAATAGACGTATGACGTCAAAATGCGGTAAGAACACCAGTGACATGGGCACTCGGCTTCGCTTCGCGTGTCACTTTTTTCCAGTGATTTCCGACCATATTTTGTCCCTACGAAAATCTTTAACAAATGATAGAAAATTACTGCAAAAGCAAAATGTATGCGTCGAATTATCATGCATTTCTAACTACCTGTTGAAGTAGAATATAATTGCGTTTGTCTCTGGGTACATCAGATAAGTAAAAACTGAAAATTAAAAAGATGTACTGTACCACTGTCTAGAATTTGGGAAACAAAAAAATAACCCTACCTGCCCATAGATATAAAGAATATTCTTAAAAGTAAATTCCTTTAAATGAGAACAATTTTAAAAATCATAATTTCAATGTGGATCACATAAAATAACCTTTCAATTTGGCGAAATCCGCCATAACAGAGAACAAATTTTTATCAAGTTGCCTTTCAACTTGTATGCAGCGGTTTCTAGCTACAGTCTCGACAAAATTATCTAGAACTGTACGGCAATGAGAGCAAGTGCTGATTTCCAAAAACTTAGCGCTATCTTTTGACGGTTCAAGCTCACCAGCAAGGAAAGAGATATGTTTGGAACAACGTCTCCTCAACAATCTTTTCAAGCTGGCGAAGTAGTCAGTTTGGCTATTTATAAGCCAAAAGAAAACAACAACAAGGCCCATGAACAGCGGATACACCATATCGAGCACTGACTCCAACCGTTCAATCCTTTGGGTCAGAAAATGCCGCAGTTTCTCCTTTTCAAGCTCTTCAAAATGAACAGTTTCCGAAAGGATCTCGAGTTTCATATCTTTCAGCAAATCGTTGCAGCCTTGGCGTACTTTCTCCAAATCATTAAATTCTGCCAGCGCCAGAATCTTCATAACACTGTCTTTGTTTTTCGGCTGGTCCTCAAGGAACTTCACGCATGGTTTGAAAATGTGTTCTACAACTTGGTACTCGTCACTCAACAGTAGAAGTTGTTCAATAACGTTCGCAGCTAAAATAGGAGAAGAAAGGTTAGTCTTGTTGAGTATCCCAAATCAGAATTCTGATTCAACCTTGAATCTCCCGTCCTAAGTACATAACAGATGAAAAGCACAATCGAAAAACACCAAGCACACCAGGTAATATGTGTTTTAGGTATCAATCAATGAAACGGTGACCGCTAGATGGAAAAAAGCCGTTATTAAGCCGAGTAGTGTTTACCTCACACTAATAACAATAATAATGATAGTAATCATAATAACTTACAACAATAATATTAAATGAGGAAACCTAACTCGCAAATGCAGTTTTCAGCAAGGCCATCTATCATTAATTAACTGATTTCCTGGTTAGTTATGTGATAAAAATATGAATAAAAAGTAACATACGTACCTAATATCTGTAAAAGTCAAAATCTTAAAATATGGAAATGTATTGAATATCAAAGGAGGAAAACTTCAAATTAATTAAAATCGTGCAAAGAGTTTTAAGTTTTGATCTGGGAACAAATAAGAAATGTCCCTTTTAAAATAATGGCAAGGCTATTCCAGTCTTTGGCAGCTTGGTAGGCAAAAGTTTGTTTATCCCAGTTAATTCTAGCTAGAAGTAAACTCGTCGGAGCTTCTTGTGTTTAAGTAATGAACAGCTTATTTTCCGATAAAATTAAAGTTCAAATCAGTTTCGGCTCCAAATAGACATTTGTGGATTGAAATAAAGCAGTGGAAAAGTCGTCTCATAGAGAGGGGCTTGAGGTCTACGGTCCTTGTTGCCGTTCGGTTGGTGATCATCGGAGTGAGTAGCCCCATGGAACTTTAACAGCTTTGTTTTGTAGGACTTGTTATATTGACATTAGGTTAATATCATTTTTATCCAGTTTACCCAAACAATATTAATGTCTTCGTGATCAAAAAGAAGAAGGATAAGGGTATCTTACAAGGTAACTATGGCTTGTAATGGCAGCAGGTTTCTCACTCTCCTAATAAGTCCTATTCTTAGATTTATCTTCATGCTGATAGCACGAAGATAAATCAGGGAATAGGCTTGAATGGAATTGTCAGGTATACGTTTTAGTTTTTGTGGACTTCCAAAGGTGACAAAATTACATATCGACAAGTTAGAGTTGACAGATTTTTTAAGAACCATTCTGACACTGTTTCCAAGTCATCATTGATGTGGTATTCAAGATCACTAAGGATTTTGAATGCATAATGAATTAAAGTATCCAAGTCCGTATATACGGGAGCTCGTGCAAGTTACAGTCATGGTCGTGAAAAATCACATTTGCCACTTTTAATCCGTATCGATTCCACCCTACATTCCTTTTCGGTTTATTCTCTGAAGTGTTTATCTAACCTTTTAGGAAATATCCTTTCAAGACTTCATCTAATCTAAAGACAATTCTCCTTTGACTCGGAAGTTCATTAAAAAACATCACAAAAAAGGACGCATCCGGCAGCCATGACAGAAAGAAAATTTTCAGTCAAACACGACTTAAGACCCTTAACACTCACGCGTGATTTCAATGTGTTCTTTGATGTACTGGAAGCCATAAATTATCTTCAAGAAGTCCAGTACACCACCAGCATTTTTTCCTGGCAGAGGAATCTCTTTGGAATTCGCCTCTTTGAATTCACATTTAAACATGGCCTTGAACACCGGTGAGTTCATACTCAATATCAAACGATGGGCATGGAACTTTTCATCTTCCACACTAAGAATTACGTCACTGTCTTCCCACGGCTCTGAGAAACAGTGCTTTACTTTTTCTTTTCCTTGATCGTCTTGAGCTGTTATATCAGAAGAGAATTGGTCAGACTGAGATTGTGTACTTAACTACAGTGTAAAAAACCAGATTGTATTGGGTACAAAAAAACAAATAGACGACAAATGAGCGCATGATTTAGCTTTGTAGCCAATGGAAACTTGAATTTTGGGGTCTTTTTTATATGTAGATACCGATAAAGCTCTTCTGGGGTCCACACATACTGTGAAAGCTTAGACGTGGGCTTGAAAATTAGTAATATTTTCCTACACAACTTGTTACACAGACAAATTTGAGTTTTTTGTCGAAATCAGAAAGTTAGTTTTTTGAGAGGTCCTCGCAACTTACGTTTCAGAGTCAATAATTTCCATATTTTGCTTTTCCCCTTCACTTAGCATTGAAGAAACTGAATCCTGACTTAATAATATCATCATTTTCAGTTATCGGTACCACAACTTGCCTCTCACTTTTCAGTTTTCAAATTTGATCAATGGTTACTAGCTAGCTAAAGCTTAGATGGTAAATGAAAGCTCGATGCGATTCCTGTTGTCATGGAC